CAACAAATCAATGTGAACTCAAACAAGCCCATCTGACACACACACACACACACACACACACACACACACACACACACACATACACGCACACACAAACACACACACACATTAGTTACTGTTTTCCAGAGTCAGCAGAGTCAAGTTTTTGGCCTTTTTTTTATTAAACTCCACTGGCCTGATTCATGGGCACGGTTTCACTCTGTGGAATCTGTCTAACCTCTCAGCATTAGGATTCATTTGCTCTTTTTTTCTTCTTTTTCATTTTATCAATCCCTGCTATTTGGTGATGACATATGTAATGCGCCGCTACTAACAGGGCAAACTGGTATATTAAGCTTTTCCAAATTCGTTAAGAAAAAAAACAACAACAAAAAACTCAATAATATTCATATCACCACAGAACATTCTATTTGTTCTGGCTTTAAATCCTCCTCCTGATCTTCCTCCGACCTGTATCTCCTGACCTCTCAGACAGCCTTGACATTACACTAAAATTCACCTGGTCTTAACATCAAATTAGACTTTTACCTATTCTTAACATTGCATCAAAACATTTATCGAGACTCAGCATTATATCAAATATTGCATAAAATATCCCCCAACATTGCATCATGTCAAACCACTCACCTCGTCTGGCTGGACTTGCTCGTTGTAGAGATGTGTATTAAAGGGAGACTCAACAAAAGATCCAAACAAGTGATTTGTCTTTGTCTTATTTTTCGGCTTTTTATTCAGGTTTTACTGTGTCATTCTGTGACTGGGGAACACCAGCCAGTCCAGGGGTGGGCAAACTTTTTGGCTCGGGGGCCACATAGGGTTCTAAAATTTGACTGAAGGGCCGGACAGGACACAGGACATGACGTGTTAAGAGCCCGGCTCCAGTGCACTCGTATTTACGCTCATGAAGGATGTTTTCTGCACTACACGCAAATTTCAGATGCATGATAAATGAACGAGGTCTGCTTCTCTCTGCACACCACAGGCGCACAAGCGTCCTACGAGCTTAGATCTCACTGAGAAACAAAGCCCACGCATTAACGTAACACGCGTAAACATAGACACGTGCAGTTACACTGTGACGCTGTTTAAATCCAGGCTCAAAACATTTCTGTTTGACTGTGCATATAACTCAAAGGTTTTGATTCTGCACTCTTCTCTTTTTCAATTTAAATCTTTATGATTATTTATGTTTTGATTTGTTTTTATTGTGATTGTAATGTATTTCTTATTCTGTAAAGCACTTTGAATTACTTTGTGTACAAATTGTGCTGTACAAATAAACTCACCTTACCTTAAACCAGACACTTTAAACATTACATGTGTTATAATTTACTACACGACGTCTATGAGTCTTTCGTCTTTGCTTCAAACCAACTTAAAACGGAAACAATGCCCCCTTATGTCTTGACCACTTCTACCTCACTCATGGTCCGAATACGCCGCCCGAAACTACTTTCCCATAAAGCATTGCAGCCAACATAATACGTGGCACCTCAATGTATATGTAGTGCGCCATCTACTGGGAAACTCTGGAAATGCAGGAAAAATAAAACAAAAAGGTTTATTACTGTAATTTATTCAAGTTCGGCGGGCCGGATTAAAAGGTTTAAAGGCCATAGTTTGCCCACGCCTGAGCTTGTCGCTATGCAATTTCATTGACTCAAGCTCGCACCTGGTCAATACACACCAGAATGTTCCCAGCTACTCAATGACTACAACTTTACTCAAAAGCTCAGATACAAAATAATCAGGACAAATCACTATGCAAGTACCTCAGGAGTATTTACCCTGTGACTCGGTCTGCTGCAGAGCGCTGCCTCATTCAAATGTGGGATCTTGTCGACTAGCAATGGATACGCCAGTGGGGTCACTGCCGAAACCGATACGAGATCCAAATTTACCAAGAATTTCACCGATATTTATACTTGTAGATCCCACAGGGCTCCTCCCGAGTACGTGCAGAGTGATCAGTCTTTACACAGAGCATCACTGACAAGAACAAGTCTAAGAACAGAGGACGCTTCGAAAACCGCACACATCACAGTCCATTATTGCGTATACAAAGTTACAAAAGCAAAATCAGATAAATCATATTAATATAAATCATAAAGATGCCACTAAATGCTATAATAATTTTACTACGTTATATGATTCACTAAAGCTCTAAAAGCTGCTAATCGAAAAATAAAACACACTAAATGTCAAATGAAAAACAAAACTCTTTCAATAAAACTGGCACCAAAACCTTCACCTTTCTTCAGACAATGGAGGTGGGGGGGGCAGGAGGTGGGGGCAGGAGGTGGGGGGGGCAGGAGGTGGGGCAGGAGGTGGGGGCAGGAGGTGGGGGGGCAGGAGGTGGGGGGAGTGGGGGCAGGAGGTGGGGGGGGGCAGGAGGTGGGGGCAGGAGGTGGGGGCAGGAGGTGGGGGCAGGGCGTTCAACAGGGGTATCGACCATTTCATACATTTGATAGATTTATTGGTTTTATTTCCATCACTATGATCAATTTTTGAATTAGTGTCAAAATGATGAAATAATTTACCTTTGAATATTTTATTAATAGTTTATTATTAGATTTTTTTATCATCTAAGGGATTTTGAGTCCATTTTAATTTGGGCAACATTATTTGTCCTTTTGAATCATGTAAATAGTTTTGTGTCAAGTTTAATAAAGCAGTGCAAACCTTTTCATACTCCCTGTTAGAACTTTGTATGTAAAATTTGGTTTCAAACTCTTTCAAATTAAGGAATTAAGGAATTGTTTCTTACATTAAAAAAATCTAATTTTGAAAAATTGTCAGGTTTAGGGAAACAATGATCTATTATTGAGCTAGTGGATGACACAGACATATTAATGAAAAACTCTGATCAACTTCCTAAAATTCTTAGTACAGTCAGTTTTTTTTTACTAAAACATCTGGGCTAAGATTAAATCTGAATAAATGAAAATTATTTCCAATTTACGACTCAAACGCATCAGCCAGTCACAACATACCTGTTAAAACAACTGTTAAATATCTAGACATGCACAAAACAAAGGATGTGGACTAAAGAACTCAACTTAAAGGTTGTATGGAGGATTTTTTTTTAGTTTCAAACTGTCAGTGAAAGATTAAAATACCATTACAGAGACGAAGCAGCTTTGTAATTATGATGACCAAAAAAAAAGAACAAAAATCGATCAACTGTGGACGTAGTGAGGCCAGATAAACATCAGCCAATAGAAAACGAGGCTCCCTCATTTTCTATTGGCTGTTAGGTTGTCAATCAAACTCCCTAGTGTAACTGACTCGTCGGAGCGCGGGGATTACGTGGTTTACGCAGCGGTTCTTAGAGGCTTTTTCGAACTGTCGCTTCCTCGCATTTCGCACAAAGTTTGTCGCGACGGCGCACGAGAATCCACGACCGGTTCGCCGCAAAAGAAAGTCCGTTTTTGAGGTCGCTGAAAGAAGAAGAGAAGAGGAAAAGGAGCAAAGCCAAACTGAGGTGATTCTCTTGGATGAGAGCATCTAAAAAAAGTGACGCTTCTTACTTCTAGACAGGAAACTAATTCTGAATGCGCACAAGGACTGTCATTTCTCTTCTCTTAAAAATCCTCTAATTTTAATATTGAAAATAATCTTTGGAGAGAACATTTCCCCTTATTGGATAAATGGAATGCATTTTCTGATTTATTTATCCTGCTTTTTTCTTTAGCAATACCTAATAGTTCAATTAAATATATATATATATAAATCAAACTATAAATCAAACTAACTTCAGTTACATTTGGAAAGGAAAAACACCTTACATCAAAAAAAGAAATTTGATACAAGAATATGAAGAAGGTGGTGGAAAAGCTTTAGATTTTAAATGCATTAATGGCACAATCAAAACAAACTGGCTAAGGTTGTTTTTAAAACTACAAAAACATTTCTGGTTTCATATTCTAAATGAAATATTTATGAAATTAGGTGGCATTGACTTTTTACTTCGATGTGATTATGACCTTAAAAAACTCCCCCAAAACTCTCCTCATTTCACCAACAGGTCGGTTTTTTTTGTTTTTGGTTTTTTTACTGGAGAATGATTTACAAACACAAAACCCCAATGTGGAACTGTCAACACAAATCTGTACATTTAATAAACTGGTTAGAAAAAGGGATATGGTCTGTAACACATATGCTAGACCAGACAGGAAATGTTTTATCTTCTGAGAACTTTAGATCCAAATTCAACATTTTTGATAAAACTCAATCAACTATTGACTCCTCAATAACTACTGGTTATAAAAGCATCTTATTAAACAGAAACACAGAATAAAGAGCAGTGGGGATTCTGTGCACGGAGAAGTGAGGAGCGCTGGGGCTAAACCAGAACTAAACCAGGACTGTTTGTTGGGCCTGGCCCGAAGGTGCGCTCACGTAGACTGTCGGGTGACCACAGGCAAAAGGACCACGCCGGGACTCTGCTCTACATCACGCTTTTACAGACACGCTCACTCTCTCTCAAGTCCAAGATTAGACCTTTCGTAGTCCTGGCGTAATCCTGGCGTAGTCCTGGCGTAGTCCTGGTGTAGTCCTAGTGTAGCCCTGGCAGAGTCCTGGTTTAGTCCTGGTGTAGTTCTGCTGTAGTCCTGGTTGAGTCCTGGTGTAGTCCTGGTTTAGTCCTGGTTTAGTCCTGGTGTAGTCCTTGGTAGTCCTGGTTTTAGTCCTGGTGTAGTCCTGGTGTAGGTGTCCTGGTGTAGTCCTGGTTTAGTTCCTGGTGTTAGTCCTGGTGTAGTCCTGGTGTAGTCCTGGTGTAGTCCTGGTTTAGTCCTGGTGTAGTCCTGGTGTAGTCCTGGTTTAGTCCTGGTGTAGTCCTGGTTGTCTGGTGTAGTCCTGGTTAGTCCTGTTTAGTCCTGGTTTAGTCCTGGTTTAGTCCTGGTGTAGTCCTGTGTCCTGGTGTAGTCCTGGTTTTAGTCCTGGTGTAGTCCTGGTGTAGTCCTGGTTTACTGAAGTCTGGTTTAGTCTGGTGTTCCTGGTTTTCTCTCTGACTGTTCAATCAGTGGGTCTGAATCCGGTGACATCGTTCGCCGCTGAAGGCCCTGGTGATACCAACTCGAAATCTGATTGGTTGAAGCATTGGTTGAGTCTGACTTTAGGCTCACTCGATCTGGCCTCAGCAGCTTTTTCTCCTTTCCCCACAGACCCCAAATCCTTCCCTCTTTCTTCACAGTCGTCTGGTCCGTCTCCTGTGTGCGTTCGGTAGTGACTGGAGAGTTCCTGGGATGTTCTGAAGAACTTTTCACACTGGTCACACTCGTAGACTGTCTGCCGGCGGTTTTCTCTCATGTGTCTACTGAGATTGGATGATTGAGAGAAAGTTTTATCACACTGGTCACATCTGTATGGTTTCGCTCCAGTGTGAACTCTCATATGTGATTTTAGGTGGCCTGACTGTGAAAATGTCTTCTCACAAACGTCACATCTGTACGGTTTCGCTCCAGTGTGAACTCTCATATGTGATTTTAGGTGGCCTGACTGTGAAAATGTCTTTTCACAAACATCACATTCATATGGCTTCTCTCCTGTGTGGATTCTCATATGTTGATGGAGATAACCAGACTGTTTGAATCCTGTCCCACACTGGTCACACTCGTACGGTTTCTCTCCAGTGTGAACTCTCAGATGTGCTTCTAGGTTGCCTGACCGTGAAAATGTCTTTTCACAAACATCACATCTGTGTGGTTTTACTCCTGTGTGGCCTCTCATATGTTGATGGAGGCCACTAGACTTTCTAAATTGGATCCCACACTGGTCACACTCGTACGGTTTCTCTCCAGTGTGAACTCTCCGATGTGCTTCGAGGCTGCTTGACTGTGAAAATGTCTTCTCACAAACATCACATCTGTACGGTTTCTCTCCAGTGTGAACTCTCAGATGTGCTTCTAGGCTGCCTGACTGTGAAAATGTCTTCTCACAAACATCACATCTGTATGGTTTTACCCCTGTGTGGATTCTCATATGTTGATGGAGATGACTAGAGTGTTTGAATCCCGTCCCACACTGGTCACACTCGTACGGTCTTTCTCCTGTGTGAGATCTGTAGTGTGTTTTCAGTCTGGAAGCATTTGGACACACCTTTCCACACTGGTCACATGTGAAGGTCATTCTGTTGGTGGATCTTGTAGCTCTGCATCAGAACAAAGGAAAGAAAGTGTCAATTAAAATCACTTTTTAAACTGTTCAAATAAAGTAACTGTAACTAAATACACATAAAATCACACATAGTAAATCATATGTAAGAATGAGTGTGTTTTCATGCACATCAGTGTTGGGGAGTAACAGATTACAAGTACCGGAGTGAGGTAATCAGAGTACAAATGATTGACTGGGACCAGAGCGGGACTGAGACCGAGACAAGACCAGGACCAGACCAGGACCAGACCAGGACCAGACCGGAGGCTCAGAGCCCACAGCAGGGCCGGAGCTCGAAGCTGAGGCTCGGACCCCGCGGAGGCTCGGAGTTAAAGCTCAGAGTCTGGTCCTGCTCTGGTCCCGGTCTGTCCCGGTCTCTGTCCCGCTCTGGTCTCGGTCTGGTCTCGGTCTGGTCCTGGTCTGGTTCCGGTCTGGTCCCAGCCTGGTCTCGCTCTCAGTCCTGCTCTGGTCCTGATCTGGTTCCGGACCTGGATCAGTCCTGGTTCAGTCCGGCATCGCAGTCACTGAAGTCACGTAAACGGGAAACGGTCGTTGTCCGTTTTTTTTCCATTTTTCATTTAAACACAAAATAGAAAACTGAAAAAATGAATCATTTTCTGTTTTTTAATTTTGGTTTTGGAGACAAATAATGAAGAAAACTGTTGTTATTTCGATTTCTTATTTTTGGTTTTATATTGAAAAACGAATGAACGAACGACACACGGATTATTAAAGGTCCCAACTCGTCAAAAGGTTTAATGAGGGTGGACTTAATGCACTAGACTTCGAGGCAATGACTGCTACATTTAAAATCAAAAGGCTCAAAACTTTATTGGCACAACAAAACTCTCCCCAATCTGAAGGTGAACGATTCTAATTTACCAGATTCTAAATGTAACAATAAAAGTTTAAATGCAACTATGAGACAAAACATTTACAACGACTTTAGTAGAACTTGTTTTAAGGACCTGCCCAGCTCGAAGAATCAGTCTACAAAAACTCAAGCAAAACTCTAAATTTGTTAAGTTTCCACTTTGTCCAAAAGTTAAAGAGACTCATTTTAAAATGATAAACAATCTCGATCCTGTGAGCCTGTTTCTTAAAAGAAGATTTAAATTTGAGGATGATTTATGTATTTTTAGTAACTCTGAAGAAGAATCATTAAATCCTTTGTTTTTCAAATGCCAAATCTTCTGGTCAAATGTCAGAAGAAAAATCCCTAAAGTCAAATCTTCACGCTTAAATCTACGCAGGCAGGGGTCTCCACTCGCAGACCAGAGTGGGATTATATTTGTATACAGAACCTGGACAGCTGAGGATGTAAAGAAGGCGTAGAAGGCATTACACCTTACAAAGATGATGTAATCAGTTCTGTATTGAAATGGAGGCTCTCAGAGACTCCTATAAATTAATGGCCTTGAGACGCGCAGGCTGGATGGCTGCGCGGGCTCCACTTGGAGCCATGTCAGAGGCGACTGGGATCCCTCAGGAATGATGGTAAATCTCTAAAACTGATGCTCAGGACTTGAAACGTCAGAATACATACAATACAATAAAAACAACTTGTATCATTTTGGTCTTACAAATTATTGCAGACAGTGGATTCCAAACTACGCTGAATTATTAACCCACTGCATAAATTAATTTATGATGAGCAAATAACCATGACAATCCTTTAAAATGGACAGCAAACCCCCTCCTAGAAAGCCACTTCAGACTTGATTTTCCTGAACCTAGGGAATATCACAAATAACTTGAACAGAAGAGGCAATTTGGATTCAAAAGAAAAAAAAAAAATTAAATAAAAAGTGAATAATGAAGTCACTGTATTCTTACAAGATGACACTAAACATGAGTGATACTGTGTCTTTTTCAAAATTTGGTGCAGACCAAATAAAAAAGCGCAGCGAGTGATAAAAGACAATGCTAATATCTTTATTACCCAAAATAAAGATGTTAACGTACAAACGGGTTATGTACTGTCATCACAAAATAAACAATAAGTTGGCAAAAGAGTGCAGGCATACTGGGAATCTGTGCNTTTTTTTTTTTTATCACTTTATTATATTTTGATAGGTTTGTAAACATAAGAAAATATAAAAAGAGGAGAAATAATAATGACAATGGAAGGAAATAAAACAAAACAGAAGCCTAGGTGACATTGATTATTCTACTTTTGCATATATGATGTCCATTTTTCCCATTTCTTCTTCATTTGTGCCTCTTGCAACCTCAGTCTATAAGTTATCTTTTTCCATTAGATATATGTCCTTTATTGTAGATGTCCACTGATCCTTTGAAGGCACAGAAGTTGTGCCCCAGTTCCTGGTTATTGATTTTTTGGCTGCTAATGACATGACTTTGAAAAGATATATATCGCCTTGGTGAATAATGTTTTTCTGAGAAGTTGCATAGATAGACCAGTTCAGGCGACAAAGGACAGGAATATCCCAGCACCTGCCCCAGTACATCACAAACCATCTCCCAAAAAATACAGTAATATTTGCACAAGTTCCAAAATATATGAGAATGGTCTACATTAATCTCTCCACATTCCGCCAACACATTTGATGTATCCTTAACTGCTTACTCTTTAATTTTAGGTGTAATAAAGAATCGAATCAGGTTCTTCCAGGCAAACTCCCTCCATGTTCGAGAGCAGGTGGTGGTGTGGTGATGCTGCCACATGTTTAACCAATCTTTATCTCCAATTTTTATGTTCAATTCTTTTTCCCAATTCTCCTTTCACTATTACAGTTGTGTTCTTATCGTTTTTAGTTAGGGCTTTATTATAATGCTGAAATTATTTTTAAGATTACCATCTTTATAGGCTTTTAGTTATTGTTTGGATGACGTCACTCTCTTTCCATGGAGGGGTTCCCCTGTATTTCCCTTCTATGATAGTCTCTCATTTGAAGGTACCTGAAGAAATCATGTTTTCCAAGTTGATATTGCTTTGTCAAGTTCTGAAAAGCTCTCCAGCTGCCCATTTTTCTCCAATACACACCAGGCAGTCATCCCTTTTTGTTGTCCAGTATTTATAATTTATGTCATATTTGGCTGGCATGAACTGACTATCATATGCCATCCATTTTAATTTTTTTGCATGGTTTTGAATCTTGTGCTTTCTAAGTATTTTGAACCATATAAGTTAATGTATGATTTGTTATGGGATCTAGGTATAATTTATATTCTTCATATAACTCTTTATCTCCAATCATATTCTGAATTTGACCCTCCAGACTACTACTTTCAATATCTTTCCATTTACCACTGTAATATGGATTACAACCAGCAGTGCAGGTATCTTAATTGTGAGGCATAATAATATTCTTCCAACTTGGGTAAGCCCATCCCACCCTTTTCTTTGGGCAGCTGGAGAGTCTCATATCGCACTCTGGGCCTCTTGTTGTCCCAAATGAACCTAGAAACAATCTTATTCCAAATTGTGTGAATTGTGTATTAGTGACCCGTACTGGTAGAGCTTGGAAATAAAAATAAAAACCTGGGCAAGATGTTCATTTTTACAATATCAATTCTAGAGCTAAAGTCTAAAGGAAGGGTAGACCATCTTTCAATATCTTTCTGTATTCTTTCCTGTACTTGTGAATAATTCTTAGAATTTACTTTCTAGAAAATCTGTTGTTATTTCAACCCCTAAATATTTAATGGATTGCATTTTCCAGTTTAAATTTCAAGGTTTTTTTTATATTTCTGGGAGGGAACATAATTGAATTTTAAAAATTTGAGTTTTTGAGATATTTATTTTATAGCCAGACAAATATTCAAATGTGTGTCTAATAGGGTCATCAGTTCTGGGAGAGATTGATCCGGTTGTTCGAGGTAAGCAATGACATCGTCAGCAAAAAGTCCAATTTTATGTTCAACTCCATTTATTGTGACTCCTTTAATTTCAGGGTTTTGCCTTACCGCCTGTGCCAGGGGTTCGATAAAGATAGCAAACAGGGATGGAGAGAGCCCACATCCCTGTCTTGTTGACCTTTCCAGCTGGATTTTTCCTGTCATATTTCCGTTTATTTTAATTCTTGCTGTAGGTTGAGAATATAATGTTTTTATAATGTCTACAGATTTGGTATTGAAGCCCATTCTTTCCAGAGTCAAGTACAGAAAATTCCAATTGACTGAGTCAAAGGCCTTCTCCGCGTCTATGCTCAATAGGACTACACTTCGAATTTGTCTTTGGGCTCTCTCCGTTATATGCAGGGTTCTCCTGATGTTGTCATGTGTCTGCCGTCTCTGTATGAACCCTGTCTGATCTTCATCAATTAGATCAGACAGAAATGTGTTTAATCTTTTGGATATTATAGATGTATATTTTTATAGTCTATATTTAACACTGAAATAGGTCTGTAATTAGCACAGGTTTGTTTGTTTTTGCCTGGTTTTAAAAATAACTGATATTATTGCTTCTGACCATGAAAGCTGGTAATTTATTTTCTTTTAGTGTCCAATTTAAATGAATTATGTAAGATCGGTATCAGTTCATTTTTAAATATTTGTACCATTCAGCTGGGAAACCGTCACTACCAGGTGATTTACTCTTCTTTAGGGAGCCTATGGCGCCTTCTTCTCTTGTGATCTCTGCTGTTAACGTGTTATTTTGATTTAAACCAATTGACGGGAGATCCATTTGTTGAAAGAAAATTTCTCTTACATTCTTCACTTGCTGAAGGAGGCTGTGAATACAGTTTTTTGTAAAAAATTGTAAAAATTATTTCAATATCTTCAGGTTTTTTAAGTAATCTGTTGTTCTCTGGATCTTTAATTTCGTAAATTGTATTTAATGCTTGCTGTTTTTTAATTCTTTTGGCTTAATAGTTTGGTAGATCTAAGGTCCCATTTCGTAGTAACTTTGTTTAAAATAGATATGTTTTCTCTCCATTTCTTCTATTAATATATTGTTAATTTGTTTTTTTTGTGTCTTGGATCTGTTGACAGATTTCCATTGTTTTTGTTTTTACAAACTGTACTTCGAGTTCTTTAAGTCTTCCACAACATTCTTCATACCTTTCTATTTTTACTTTTCTTCAACCATGCTGTTTTAGCTATTAGCTTTCCCCTGAATAACTGCTTTCAGGGCATCCCACACCACTGTTGGGTCTACCTCTCCGTTATCATTCTCTTCTATGTATTGTTGTATTTCCTTTTT